ATACTTCATAATCAACGAGGTGTATATATTTCTATGCGAAATTTGACAACTACTTTCGTAGTTAACCTTTATATAATCAATTATTTGGACCATTCTCCAGATACTAGAATAAACATGTGCATCATGTTTAATCCTATCAAAAAAGAAAACATAACAGTTCATAGATTTCAATAAATCACATTATATATGGCTTGAATATGGGGGTTACAAATGGACTTTATTATTATTATTATTATTATGAAGAATTGGTCATATTATATAGTTAATCAATTTACTTTACAATTACATTTGGATCCCAAAGTAATCATTTTGTTAGTACTAATGTGTACTTAAGAAATTTTTTTAGCACATCCCTAAGTTCCTAGCATCTTGGAAAAGTAAGAAGATTGGCAACAATATTTTGCTAGTGCATGTTTATGTAGGACATTTTGGCAAGAGAAAATGCATGTGTTTCCTATGTTCATCTCATATTCATATAGATGACATGGTGGAAAACTATAGCCATGAAAATTAAGTTCCACAAGTTAAATATATTTGAAATGTGGGGGTGTTTAATTTCACATAAAACATATTATATGTTATTATTCTTTGTAAACTGATTCTTGAAATGTGTTAAAAATTATATTGAAGATTTGCAGGTGGAATGTAAGAGCTGAATAGATGCATATACCCAAATGTGCTACTAAAGTCAATATTAAAATTTTCATGTATTTATATAATTATATTTTGAAAATTTCTTAAAATTTTTTGCAGATGTTAGAAGTGTATGGGAAGAACAAGAGCTTTGCTAATTGATGGTACCATATTATTGCCCAAGAGATGCATAAATAACTTATAGCCCGAGATGGACATACACAAATAATTGAGGGGGATGGGCTTAAACCCATAAGGGAGTCACCTCTGGGAATAACCTAACATTTGTGATTGAAGATCCTATGAAGAATATTCAATATGGTAAAAACAATCCATACTACGTGACTCGTAATAACACTATATTATTTGTGCTCATCCTTATGGTGATAGTGCTAATAATAATATGAAGTTAGGAAGAGTCTAATCCTGAATAAGTATCGAGACGACAATTCTCACAAGGTGTGGATCACATACACCATTGGAGGACTCACCTATGTAAGAGTTGCCTTGAGGTCGTGGCTATGAGATTAGGCTGTTCCCTAGAGATTTTTACTAGAATTAATATTAGAGCACATGGCCATTAACAGTGTCACCCGCAATGAACTAAGCCTAAATTGATATTGTGTATAGAACAATTGAAATTTGGTCAAAAGGAACTAACCCAAGGCTTAGTCCATTATGACTCCCTCAAATGGAAATTGTTATCACTAACTGAGGTTCAAGTCCAAAAGATACATACACCTATTACACTGTATAGCGTTGCCACTATTATATATATTTATCTATTTTGAAAGTTTAAAACTTGTGGGGGATTGTTGGAACATTTTTTAAAAAGTTCTAAACTTTCACAACAAATATTAATTTTCAATTTTGATTTTAATATTAACTTCTAATATAAATTTAAATATCATAATTTAGGTTGTAACTTGAGAATAAAAGTTACAACCTTTTAATTTTAGGTTTTAAAATAAAATTAAAAGACCATAATACATATTATAACTTATGTTTTAATGGTATAAATGTGGGAATTGAAATTTTTCCTATAAAGGGTGATTGGATTTTATTGTTGTACATATCTTATACAAACTTGAAGTATTGTCCCCTCTATAATTTTATTTTATATTCATACTATTTTGACAATTCGATGAGAGACTCGTTCACTTATTTCCTTATGGTCATACCCATAAAAAGAGAGTCACATGAGTTTTATCTTGGAGTCGTATAGTGTCGAAAGAATCCGCACGAAAGGGAGGCAACACGACTTTTGGATAACGTCTTCGAAGTGACTCACAAGACTTGCATTTCGAACTCTTCTTCTCGTATACTCATATTATTGTTGAATTATTTTATTGTGATACATAAATTAATTATATTAATTGGTAAGTATCTAAACACAAATCACCCAATTTTTCAACATAGCATGCTAAGCACGAGTTCCCTTCTCTGTCAAGATTTCTTCAATTCACCGCAGATCACAATGGACGGTAATGCTATTGCAACCAAGGTGTGCATTTGCTAGATTAATTGATGGAAAGAAGTCAATAGTTTACTTGATTAACATTAATCGAAACGCTTTTCGTTCACCTTCGCTAGCATGGGGTCCATGAGTTGGAAAGTCAGCTCCCTAATAAGATCATTTTTAATGGTGTATAAGGAACTCCCTTCTCCATCAAATGCAATTTTCGTCGTATTCAAATTACTCGGCTCAACTCTGTCCCCATATATACATATGTAACACGAGTTGGATGGTATGAACTATGAAGGCGTAAATAGTTCGACAAAATCAGTTTCGTCCAGTAATAAATGCATAATTAGTTCTACAAATCTCATCGTGGACGAACCATACTTCCACGGTAGAATGCTTTGGTGCACGAACAAACCAGCAACTTTCTCTCCTTAATTCGTTCAATGCCGGTGCTTAACTTCTTATTTCTTCTGCTTTCTTGTGTACAGGTACCTGTACTTTCGTGTAACAAACTTGATCATGATTCTCTTTCGTCATTCTATGAACACATTTCATCCCCTCAACCAGCCATTCCTCTCAACTGGTCATCCACCAGCTGCTGTAAATGGGAAGGTATCAACTGCAATAGCAAGTCTCGGGTCACCCATTTATCGTTATCGAATATGGGTCTTTCTGGATCTATCACTCCATTTCTTGGGAACCTTACATTTCTCTCTTACCTCAATCTATCACATAACCAACTTTCTGGTCCTCTCCCTTTCGCACTTTTTCATACCTTGAGTAATTTGGAATCACTTGATTTGAGTTATAATCTTCTGTCTGCTTCACAAAACCATGGCTTGCCTGTTTCAATCCAAACCGTGGATCTATCAAGCAATCGGTTTAATGGGTCGATTGATTCTTCGTTTTTCCATGGTGCATCGGGTCTGATTAGTTTCAATGTCAGCAACAACAGTTTTAGCGGCCCACTTCCATCCTCTATTTGCATCACCTCCAGTTTTGTGAAGATATTGGATTTCTCCATGAACAATTTCAGTGGCAATTTATCAAAAGGCATTGGAAGATGTTCTGAGCTGGAAGTTTTCAAGGCAGGTCTGAACTCTCTTTCAGGATGGCTTCCGTATGATATTTACGGTGTGAAAACACTCAAGAGAAATCTCTTTACCTAAAAACTACTTCTCGGGACCTGTCAACAATAGCATTGTTCTACTCTCAAATCTTAGCATTATAGATCTCCATGAGAATGAATTTACAGGCGAGGTTCCTAAAGATATTGGGTTGCTGTCAAATTTGAAACAACTGATACTACACACCAACAGCCTATATGGTTCTGTGCCTCCATCATTGATGAATTGTACCCGCCTGAAAACGCTGCTTATGCGGAATAATCACCTAGGAGGAAAAATTTCGAGTCTTGATTTCTCCCAGGCTCCAGGAAGTGGAAGCAATTGATTTTGGGAACAATAGCTTTGTAGATAATATTCCATTTAGCCTATGCTTTTGCAAATCCCTAACTGCAGTCCGACTTGCATATAACCATTTAGAGGGTGAAATTCCAAATTGCGTCGCTGTGCTAAAATCTTTATCCCATCTCTCACTTACCGACAATAATCTTTCTGATGTTGTCGGAGCTTTAAAGATTTTGATGAACTGCGACAATCTTTCAGTTCTATTCCTGAGAAATTGCTTCAGAGATGAACCGGTGCACGATAATTACAGCTCATTGAATTTAACTGGGTTCCAAAATCTACAAGTTCTGAGTCTGAGTAGATGTCAACTCAAAGGTGAAGTGCCTCATTGGATTGGAAAATTAAGAGTGTTGAACCTGTCATACAATCAAATGACAGGCACGATTCCAAAATGGTTGGGGAGTATGCCCAACCTGGTCGCCCTAAACCTCACTGGAAACCGGCTATTGGGCAAGCTCCCTCCAGAAATTGGCAGCCTACAAGCTCTTATTGCGGACAATACAGACTCAAACTTGTCTTATATGGCTTTGCCTTTCTTATTCAACAATCACCAGTACGATCGACTATTCAACTTGCCACCTGGAATCGACGTTGGGAATAACATTCTGAGTGGGAATATTCCGGCCGAGTTAGGCCAACTTAAAAGTCTTCGTGTGCTGGATCTCAGCGATAACAACTTCAGTGGATGCATTCCAAGTGAATTGTCAAATCTAGGCAATTTAGAGAAATTGGACCTGTCGGAGAACAATCTCTGCTGCGAGATCCCAAAATCACTAACAAGACTCAGTTTCCTGTCTTTTATCAGCGTTAAAAACAACGATTTAAAAGGAGAAATTCCAAAAGGTGGTCAGTTTGATACATTTCCAAGCACTTCATTTGAAGGGAATCCTAAACTACTACAGCGAAGTTTTGCCGGCAGTCGAGCTGATATATTGCCGCCGGTACGGGCAGCAAAAGAGCCTGAAACTTTGTGGTACACTCTTCCATTCGGGTTGGGATATTTGGTAGGATTTTTTCTGTCGGTGTCAGTTTTTTGTTCAATAGTGCATGAAAATTTGTTATATGTTAATTAATTCATCTGCCATCTAAAAGCGGGGTCTGTAATATTGAGAACTAGTATAAGTAGACAGGGTCGTGTTAACTGAGAACCCTATCCCGTCTTGGAAAATGTTTGGTGTACAGGGTTTCTGTTTCACAGAATCCGTACCAACACTCAAAAATATTGGGTCTCACACGGGATCCACTTGTATTAAAAAAAAAAAAAATCTTTTTGATTGAACAAAAAAATTGACTTTTCATTGTTGGGATAAAATGTGCAATAAAATTGAAAGGATGAAGTTGCCAATAAGATATGTTTGGGATGGAGTTACAATTTTCTCAATAGATTAAGGACTAAAGGTACAATTTTCCCTGAGATTTAAGAGTGGGATAAGGCAAGCTATGGAGGCAAACTCAGCGTTCAGCTCACAATCCTGCCGCTGCTGCACCTCCATTTCGCGCTATTACTATGACTCATCATCTCACCTCCTTTAATTCTCACTTTACATATACATATTCAAAAACCCATCTCAATTTCATCTCCAATTCTCTCAAAATTTCATCTTCTTCTTCCTTTTTCGACACTTGTGTCCGTAAATATCCTCGCCTCCACTTGTCCTGCCCTAAGAGTTCTCTTCTACGCACTTGGGCTTTAACTACCAGTGAAGCTGTTGAAAATTCTAATTCTAAAGAAGTGATGCCCAAAATCGACAAAAGTGGTAGATTTTGCAGTCCCAGAGCAGCCCGAGAACTGGCTCTGTATGCTTTCTTTCTTACTCTTTCCTCTGCATCTCTACATGCAATCTGCATTGTACTGAAATTTTCACGCATTCACATGTCGCAATTTTAAGGACTTGAGATTTTGTATTGACTAGTTTTGGGAGTGATTATGTCGTAGGGTGATTCTATATGCTGCGTGTTTAGAAGGGACCGACCCAGTTCGCCTTTTTGAGAAAAGATTGAATTGCAGAAGAGGTAATGGCGTTGTACACCATTTGGGGAAAAAGTCCACTCGTGTGCAATGTATTCTTTCTTTATTTTATTATTTTATTATTTTTTCCATGTAATTTGATTGAAAGTAAGAGTATATTGCTTTGTGTATTTCCTTCAGAATCTGGGTATGAATTTGATAAGGCTTCATTAATGAAATACAATCACATGAGCTTTGGAGGACCGCCTGTGACAACAGAGACAACTGAAGAAGCAAATGAGCTTCTCAGAAATGACGAAAAGGAATCTGAAATTGGTACAGTTCCATTAAAATTTCCAAGTCACGAGAAATTTCGTGCATACCTCACATATGACCTTTATGTGTTTATTCTACATAAACATTGTCAATAAATTCGGGTAGTTCCATTCATTTGTAGTCGTGCTGGTCAAATTTTCGTTCTATTTAAATATGTAACACTGTTTAGTTTTGTTTGGCCTCTTCTTTTCCTAAACAAGCAACTTAGTAAGCTTTTATTTCGTCATTATTCCTACAGTCTATCGTTCGTTTATAATATTAATATTAATATCTTGAACGCTCTAACGGAAACTCTTCAAAGTTTTTGGCAATCATAAAACATTGCCTTTTGACTATACATTAATATGCAAACAGTCAAGATATTCACTTGGTATGTTATTGCATCTCTTTCCTTATTTGATAGACGCCTCATAGTGACATAATGAGGCCTAGAGAAGATATAGAGTTGCTTCTATTTGTAAATTATATATTAAAAAACTATTGATGATATAGTTCGTTTGTCTAAAACATAATATTTTGCTAGAAATGCTGATTATGGAGTGAGTTTTGCAGAAAGCTCAGTTATTTCTGATGAAATAGTTGCGAGTTTAGGTGTATGCTTTGTAAATGAGTTACTGTACTATTATCAAAATCTAGAGGTTCGAATCTCACTTGCAACGCGGTTACGTAATTGAGTATTACTCCATTCAAAAGTGGTTGAAAAGATTTCTCTCTTGCAATAGTTTTCTCTGTGACCTTGAAAGCTATCAACGCATCATATTATTATGTATTGCCCTTAACACTCCTAATCCACTCTGACTTGCTCGTGGAATTTAGTCTTTTAACTGGAAAAACCTACTTAATATAAGAAAACGGCAGTTTCAAAATAAGCAAAACCGGCACCCTCATCTATTGGCCACTGTGAACCAATTTTAGATGCCAAATGTATAAGATTGTGAAAAGCTTAATTGGCTGAAATAGAAATATAGCAACAACGAATGATACAAAATCACATGGGGTACACTACTTTTATATTCCTTTATTCTTGTAAATTCCCATCTCTGAGCCATTATTGTCTTGTGGATTTGCTGTATTGAACTTCTTCGCCTGCATTTATAGATGCGGCAATTCCTAGCTAGTTGCATATAATTCCTCTTAACCTGCTTTTATTAATTCAAAGTTCCTAGCTAGTCAATGATAATCCTTTTAATGTTTCATTTATTTGTGTAGTCTTTGTATAGCATCCCTCATATTAAAACGGATATTTCATCTTTATCGCTAGATTCTTTAATATTTGAACATTTTCTCTCTCAGAAGCAGAAGTTCTTTCCGCACCTCCTAAGTTGGTGTACAGCAAATTAATTTTGCAGTAAGCAACTCAACTATAAATAAGTTACTTATTCTTATCAAGAAGCTGAGTTGTCCCCAAAGACCATGCACAAGCCAAGAGCATTAATATTTTTTCTCTGCTACAGCTTTACTCGAAAACTTTTGGTAGCAGTTGTAGAGAAGTGGGATTCTCATGTTCTCGTCATCAATAAAGTTGCACCCCCAAATTGGAAGGTTAGATGTGCCTCTATATGCTGTGAGATTTTCTGTTGAGCACTTATGTTCATTATTACTCATGTTGTCACTTGTAGTTCCCATCCAGATCATCCAATATTTTGCAGGACTTGTACAATTATACTCTCTGCCATTTTCTTGTGTGCATAAAAATGCAATTGTTTGTAGAGAGACAAATAATGCACCCCCTTCTCTGGGAAACTTAGTTGGTGCTAATCTGAAATTTTGCAGACTACAACCATTGTCTAATTATGAATGATCATTCACAGTTTGTGTTTCCCTTGGTGATTTGCAATTCGGCTTCACTCTCTATATAAAATTTATACCTAGAGACCACAGACCATTTACTGAACTCGGTAATCTTGTGAATATAATAGGATATAATCTCTAACATTTATTTGTTCCCTCTACGAAACTATGACTGCTATATGCATAGGAAAATGTAATTTGAGCATTTGTATTTTAGACAGTTCCTCTCACCTGCAATTAAACTGTTCCATTTTAGAGTCCATAATTTTATCATATTTGTTTACTGTATAGGCCATCCGTTATGCGTTCACTTCATGATCTTGTGCTTTTATACCACCGGCTGTGTAACTTCTCTGGTAGGTTAATGGAAATTTATTATGGTCCTGTATGTGAGTCCTATACAGGAGTTGTAATATTGTAACAAAGGACTTTCCAAATGTTTAATACCATAAAATGTAGTGAAGAGAGACAAATAAACCTCTTCTAGATCAATATAACATTGATGATAAATATACAAATTCTAATATAGAATAGGCACAGGTGCCTCAAACTGCTGTCCTATGTACCTTCACATCACAAACATCGGAAGGGTGGATGAAGGAGATTCCAAATGGGTTAGTGCTAGTCAAACCAATTTTACTGGTCTAGAGGCTTTGAGCATGTTGTTCCTGTATTTTAAGATGACCATATGCTGCCCCCTTCCTCCAATTATGTGCTGCAATTCTTTTGGAGTTGGTGTGAATATTTAATCATCTATTATAATTTCACTTTGAATGTGATGTCTATGCAGTTCAATAAGCTTTAGAAGTTTACTTGAGAATACTGACTCGCTCAAGAATAGTGACCTTCCATTTCAATGATAATAGATCTCAAAGTTATCACTAAGACTATTGAAATATTGATAACCCACCATGCTTTTTTTTTTTTTTTTCCTCTCAGGATGAACCGGCTGGTAGAATTCTGGAACTTTCAATTCTTCACTTAGCTATGTCTGAAATAACAGTGCTAGGGACGCGACACCAGATAGTTATAAACGAGGTTTCTGCTTTCTTTGATCTTTTTGAAATTTTACTGATGCATTCGGACATCTCTTGTACACAAACTCTTAAAAGTCTTGTGCTCACCACTGTTAGAACTAGTTATCCCTTAATGTGGTAGTGCTTGAAATTTATCCTAGCCATCTCCCTCCAGCTGATTTGAGTCGAGACCTCCCTCTTTTTTTCTTTTCTATTGGTCCTTGCTTCACTTTTATTTTAGGTTGTTAGCAACACATGCATTGAACATGTTTGACTCTCTTGAAGGCTGTTGACCTTGCAAAGCGGTTCTGTGATGGGGCAGCGCCACGTGTAATCAATGGTTGCCTGAGGACTTTCATGAAAGACGTCAAAGGGAATGTTAATGCTCGGGAGTTGAAGATCAAAGAGACTGTATTAAGTTGAGTTATTAAGTGAGAAGCAACAAGGTAAACTCTCTTTAGCTTGAGCAACATTGGAATGCTAATATCTGGGAGATCTCCAGGAGATAATTGTTTTTCTTTTGTTTGTTCCAGCTCTGTGGCATATCCCTGAGTAGAGAACTCGGCCAAAGTCAAAATGCATTAACAATCACTATGCAGTTCTGATGGATTTCAAATATTTATCTGTTGGGTTGTATGCCCATATAGTATATGTAACGCCCCAATTTTTTTTATAAAAACCGGAACGTTACGAAAAACTTACTTTTCCTTAAGTTAAGTGCGGAAATATAAAAATAGAATTCTTTAGTAAACAATAACTGCAATATTTATAAATCTAAATTTGAAAATATGAAAATCGTATCTAAACATAAATATAAACTCTTAGCAAATTCAAATAACACATTCTGAATAAATTAAACTAACTGATAAATTTTAAAAACGGCAAACTTATTTCTTTTTCTCTATTTTTTACCTACTTGGCAACCCGCATCACCAATTCGCCACTGTTCCAATCGATCCGAACTAACATGTAAAATTTTGTAAGAGTGAGTATTCGAAAACACCTAGTAAGATACGTGCAGTTTTCATACATAATTACATAACAATAAAATTTACATTTCATACCACTCTGCTCTTATGGAGTATACCGGTGACCAAGCGGCACACCCATCTTAGGTCCTCTTATATCCCGTAGGATTCCATCTCTCTTTTTTTATAGAACCCGAAGGTCTACTAGTAATTCATATATATTTAATTGCATATAAGAGCACAAGGAAACGAAAACAACTTGTACATAATGTATCTTACCTTGTTATCGAAATGTACACAAAAAATATTTGAATGTACGTTCCAAAATTCCTTCCTCTACTCTGTGAATGATTTATTGATCGACAGTGATAGTTGATGTATGACAAATTTCTGTTTTCACACACTCTTTTCTCTCTCTCTCTCTTTCTTCTCTCTCTTTCACGTGTGAATATTTTTTGGTGTGGTAAAATATGAGATCCTTGCCTAATATTTATAGGTGTAGGCTAGAGTAGTAGATAAACCAAAACTTTGGTTTGATAGAGTCAAATCAAATGTGGCACGTATCATAAAAAGATTGTACTTTATCATTATTTTATTCCATCTAAAAGAACAACCATTCTTATCCAATAAATTTGTGGCAGCCAATCAATCAAATTCAAAATGGGTTAATATTAAACTTTAAAAAATGAGTAAAATTAAAAGACCCACCTCACACGTTTGTAGAGAGAGAAAATGAATTGGATTAAAACTATATAAAATTCTATTTATCTTGTTTTCTTTTATTTGGCATAACTTACTGCGACCTTATTAGAAATAACGTTTTTTCGAGTCATAGACTTCTAATTAATTACGACCTTCGAAAAGAACCCAATATCGATATACTTATTATTACTTTATCAAAATTCCAATTATTTGTTCCAAAATAATTTAAAATATATATTTCATCTTAATCTCTCAATTGTCAAATTAATAAAATTTAATATATAAAATAAATAAATATTATTCTAATTAAAATTTTTTTTTTTGGGATGCTACAGTATAGTTTTGCTGATGTAAAAATAACAATAATTTTTTATATTGAATAAAATTACGTTTACTTTATTTATTGCATTTATTTATTATTGAGCATGCGAAATTAAAGTGCTTATGATTACTTGTGATAATATGAGTTGGGTACTTGCGTTGAGAAGTATACAACTTATATTTTGATCATAAACAATTTATTCACAATCTATGTATAAGGGTTGTTGGCACCTTATATTAGAAGGTTGTAGTGTTTACCAATTCACTATTCGGATTTGTGATTTGTCTTTATCACAGAAATAGTTAAAGATGACATTAGTACATTTGGAGTGTATTGAGCGGATCACGTGTCGAATTTAATTCTATAATATGACCGTGTGGAGAATTAAATTTCACTTGACTGCTGTGTATTTATCTGAATCCCTTGACGGAATTATGCATATCTTTTCGTGATTTTAATAGTTCTTTGATTCATCAATGGGTGAGATCAATTTGATTGGTCAAATACTTAAGAATGAGGGGAGTAGAGAACATGAATTCGTGTCGGGAATTCGTCACCCTGAAAATGGATAGAGTGACTACTTGAGTGTTTTATGTTGAACGGTAAAAATCTGAGCTCAGTGTTTAGCGACGGCTAAACTTCGACATCTGTGATTTGTTCACAGGGCCATTGAAGAAAATGAAATTTAAGTTAATGAGAATAATTAGAGGGGCAAAACGGTCATTTATGCTCGTACCAAATTATCGAATCTCGAACGGGGATAAAATATATATACGGCAGGTTAGTGGAAAGTATTACATATTTATTGGCTTCTGTGATCTTATATATTCCAAGGGTTCAGCCTTTTGCCTTTAGTGGAAAAAATATAGACTAATAATTAGATTAAGTGGTCTAAGGTCGACTAAACAAGATCTAATTATTGGAGTTTGGAAAATATATGTCCGATCAGGTTCCTATGGTAGCTCCATAAAGTATTGGAACTTAATTACGGTAATTATAATAGTTTTGGGCTTAATAATAATTACTATAAAATTTTGTACTTAGTTGTAATTACTATGAAAGTTATAGACTTAATTGTAATTGTAATTGAAATTTTAGGACTACACGTGCAATTAAATGTAAACTAATTAGAATTTGGTTTAAATTAAAACTCCTACATGGGTTTTAATTAAAACTCTTACTTGAATGTGAAATTATAGTTGTACTAGAATTGTATCATCTTTTTCTCTATAAATAGAGACTAGATGAATAGAAAAATTCTATAACATTCATAATTTCATAAGATTCAAATTTGTAAATAGAAAAGAGAGAGAAAATATATTATTTTCTTGTTGTCCAAAATTCAAGAATTAGTTTCTTGATTAATTAAAAAAAAGGTGTCCACACACCGATGTAGTCTTTGCGTTAGAGAATACTATAGAAGGCTTGAAAGTTTGATGCACCAAGATTCTAGCAATTAAAGGAGACGGAAGTTCGCAAATCAGAGTTAATTCAAGGTTGATCATTGAACTTAGGTAAAATATTCGAATCATTTAATTTTGTTATAACATACACGTGAACATCTAGATGATCTTACTTATTGAATTAAAGAAAATTTTAATTTCTGATTAATTTCGCTTCCGCATTCCAACAATATTTATAGAGAGCTGGATTTTGTGTCTTAAAATCTATGTGATTCAAGAGGTTATAGATGTTAATTATTACGTGTAATGCTTCTTCTAAGATATACTAGGCTGTATTGTCATCTGGAAAGCAGACAAGTACAACTACATTAGTTTGCAATATAAATATCTAAGTACTTATAGAAATATGAATAAAATTCACTGTAATTGCAATAGTGTTCGGGACTTCTACTGTAGCTAAACAGTGATTTCATTGTAGATATCAGCCATACCCATTTTTTCTTACTCAAAAAGACGGTGAAGCCATTTCCTTCTCAGTTCTCCATTTCCCCACGCAAACCCATTTTCTTCAGACAGAAACTTTCTTCTTCATCATCATCATCATTTTCTTCTCTCACTTCTTCTTCAATTCTTCTCTCGTTTTTTTGTGATTAATCTCTTTGTGCAAAATTCTCGTGAATAAAGAGGTAAATCCTAACATGCTGTTTTTCTCAGATTATGATTTTATTTATTCAAGATTCTATGTGCAAAATTTTTGATTTCGAGTGAATAGAGAGGTATATCTTCGGTTTTATGTGATAATTATAATTTTGTTTATTCGATTCACAATTTTGAATTTTTGTGTGAATAGAGAGGTATATTCCTGGTTTAATGTAATTAAAATGCTTATTAGCTTGTTAATTCATTTATGTCTCTTGTATATATCATGCATCAGCAATCTTGGTAGAAATTGTGAAGTATGGAAATAAGTTAGTTTTGGATATTATTTAGATCATTATTCTTAGTTAATTAAATTTTTAGCCTGTTTAGTAAAGTTTCCTGATGTATTAATTCAAATCTGGAATTTCTTTGCACAAAGCAGGGGAAGAGAATGAAATAGATTCTGTCAATGTTTTTTGACCGAGTCCAAAGTCTGCACTGTTTGTGCCGTGGTTAATGTGGATTAATTTTATTATTATAAATTTTAATTTTTTTCGTTCTCTTTTATTTTTTATGATTATCTGGGTCGCCAGTGATTTGTGCTGGCTGTCTGACAATTCCATCTCTACTACCCGACTTCACGACTTAAGAGTCTCTTGGTATCGCTCTTACACCCCACCCCCACCGATATTCTAGAATTCTTTCCACGGATAATTTTTATGGATTCTGTTTTATTTATTACATTCTTCTTTATTTCCAGTTTGCATGTTACATGTTTCCAACATGTTAATTGTAATAAAATTCAGTTATGGATTGTTAGGTAATTTAATTATGGGAAGACAATGTTGGGTACCTACATCTACGCAACTTGATATTTTTCAAACCATATTTGATGGAGGAAATGAAAGTCCAACAAATACAGAAATTGTACAAATACGTTCCTACATATCCTCACATAATCATATTTCTGAAAAAAAAAAACATTCGTAAGTGGTTTAAGAATAGGAGTACTCAGTTAGAAAGAGAAAGAAAACAAAAGCAGTCCAATAAGAACTATGAAATGCAACCCCATCGACGTGTGAGAAACTTCATTTTAACAGGTTTGTATTTAACGTTAGATTTAATCCTATTTATCATACCCTTCAGCTTTATAAATCTATTTCTTACAAAATTTCCTTTGAAAATGTTTTCTTATTCTTTCTTTCTTTTAGGTTATGATAATTATCAGCTTGAATCTCAAATTAATTTACAGAAGGATTAAACTATTGATGTAGCTATTGATGAAAATTGTGTTATTGAAAAGCTAAATAAAAATTCTGAGGATAATCATGTTGAATGTCAGTCGGATGTTGATGTTACTGTTGCGTGTGCAGGACAAATTGAGAGGGAAAATATCCATGTTGAACCTTTTGTCTTGCCATATTCTAGAACTTGTACACATTGTGGTGCAAAAAAATTCTGCACAGAAAGTAAGGGCTTTTGTTGTTGTGATGGAAATGTCAAATTACAGTTACATAATATGCCTCCTGAACTATTTTATTTATTTACGTCTACATCTAAAGAGGCTATTGCTTTTAAGAATATTGTTCGCAGTTACAACAATCATTTTGCATTCACTTCATTTGGTGTTAAGTATAACAGAGAATTGTGTAAGAATAATAAAGGTATATATACTTTCATAATTCAGGGATAAATATACCATTTTATAAACTCTCTTGTACCGCTAGATTGTCGTCCAACATATTTACAACTATACTTCTATGATACTGACAATGAGATTGGTAATAGACTTAATACTTCAGACAGGTTTTGTGAATTGACTTTGAGAAAGTTGATGGACATTTTAAACAAATATCCGTATTTTAACTTTTTCAGATTGTTGAGTGAAGTTACTGATCTAGAATCTTATCGAATTTTACTGAGGTGTGATTCAAGTCTTGATCAGAGAACATATAATTTGCCAACATCAGAACAGGTGGCTGTAGTTTAGGTTGATGATGGCCCATCTAAAAAATACTCAGGGTCAGGATTTATTAATTTATGAACATTCGGGTAGTGTGTATAAAATTCAATATTATTATGGTTGTTATGATCCACTTCAATAGCCATTACTTTTTCCGTATGGAGAACCTAAATGGCATGAAGGTATTGAGAAGGTAAATGTGAATGTATCCCGACTTCGAGTTTGTCAAAATTTAATAGAAATTAATAATCTTCACTCAGTTGAAGAGCTCTTGGAAATAGAAGATGATGGTAAAATTTATTGGTCATAATAATTCATGTTTTATTGACTAAATGTATTTATTTTATTATTGATAATAGATGATGAATGAGTTTCATTGATATATGTGTTTATTTTTTACAGTTTTGAAGACAAGGAGGAAACGGATGACAGTATCTTGTCGAGAATATTATTATTACAAGCTCCAAATCAGGTCTGAAAAAAATTGCCTTTTTTTACATACAGGCAGACTTTTACAGCAATATGTAGTGGATATGTATGTTAAAATTGAAATCTCAAGATTTTACTATTTTCGCAATAACCAAAAATTTATAAGAGCAGAAGTATATCAGGGAATTATAGATAGCATTCAAAATGGTGAGAATAGAGGTTATAAAATTGGTAGATCATTGGTGTTGCCTACTGATTTTATTGGGGGTCCTAGATATATGAGAAAAAGATATATGGATGCGATGTCTTTAGTTCAAAGGTATGGAAAACCTGATGTGTTTTTTACGATGATATGTAATCCAAATTGTCCTGAAATAAAACGTGAATTGAGACACAGTGATGAAATACAGAATAGGCCAGATTTGTTGGTGCGAATATTTCGGGCCAAACTTGAACAACTAAAGATAGATTTGATTAAGAGAAAATTGTTGGCTCTTATAGCTGCATATGTTTATGTCATTGAATTCCAAAAGAAATGATTACCTCATACTCATTTTCTTCTAATATTTAAATCAAATTTTAAGATTAGAAATTCTTTACAAGTTGATGAAATGGTTTCATGTGAAATACTGGACAAAAATAAATACCCTCATTTACATTCAGCTGTTATAAAACATATGGTGCATAGTCCTTGTGGGCAATTAAATCCAAAGAATGTTTGCATGGAGAAAAATGATGTATGTAAAAGTAAATACCCAAGAGAATTTGTCCAATATACTTCATTAGATAATGATTTCTACCCGCATTATAAACGTCGTAATGATGGTGTAATTGTTAAAGTAAGAGGCTTTATGTTGGACAATAGATGGGTTGTGCTATACAATCCTTACATTCTAACTAAATATGATTGTCATATTAATGTAGAAGTATGCTCTTCTGTTAAAGCTGTTAAATATCTATACAAGTACTCATACAAGGGTCACGACTGTATCCATTTTACTATGAATAAAGAAACAAATAAACACTTTGTTGATGAAATTACAAACTACTAAACGGCTAGATGGATTTTCACACCTGAAGCTATGTGGAGGATATTTAGTTTTGATTTATTCGATAAGTCTCCTGTAGTGATTTGTTTATAGTTGCATACTGAAGATGCTCAAATGGTTACATATAACGAAAGTGATGATTTATCAAATGTTATAAATAGAGAGTTTATTCATCGAACAATGTTAACTGAATTCTTTAAGAAGAATATTTCAGATGAAAAGGCAAAAACTCTTATATACAAAGAATTCCCCACATATTTTGTCTGGAATGTATCCATGTGAATTTGGACTCTTAGAAAAAAGAAAGATGTTATTGGTAGAATACTCGCTGCTAATCCATCCGAGGGTGAACAATATTTTTTGAGAGTTTTACCAAATCATATTAAAGGGCCAAAATCTTTGAAGATTTAAGAACTGTCATTGGTGTCATTTTATCTACTTATCGTGAGGTAGCGGTTTTATATGATCTTCTTAGTAGAAATAACTATTTCGAGACTTGTTTAACTGAAGCAGTTGTTTACCAAATGCCCATATTTTGCGTCGACTATTTGCTAATGTATTAACTCTGTGTTGTCCTACAAATCCAAGAAATTTATGGGATAAATTTAAGGGTTTTATGATGGAAGATTATTTACATAACAGTATATCACAACAGAATGCTGAGATGGGAGCTTTGCATCGTATAAATTCTTTCTTGGAAACTGATGGTAAAAATGTGACTAATTTTAGCTTGGTAGATTTCGATTTGAATGTGACTAATGATGATAGCTTTCAAACCATGATTGCTGAAGAAATGACAAATATTAATGTTGAGTCAGGCATACATTATGCTAAAAGTCTAAATAAAGAGCAACAGAATGCGTATGATATAATTTTGGATTGTGTTTTGAATGATAAGAATGGAATGTGTTTTTATTGATGGCCCAGGTGGCACTAGAAAAACATACTTATACAAGGCGTTACTTGCTGCTGTAAGATCACGAAATCTTATTGCATTAGCAACAGCATCATCTGGTGTAGCTGCGTCTTTATTACCGGCTGGTCAGACAGGACATTCACGATTCAAAATTCCACTTCAAATAAGTTCTGATATGTGCTGTTCGGTGAGTAAACAATCTGCACTTGGTAAACTTTTATTAATTTCTAAACTAATTATATGGGATGAGACGCCAATGGTTCATAAATATGCTTTTAAAACTTTGGATGAAATGTTAAAAGACATTACTGAATCTCCAATACCATTTGGTTGAAAAGTTATTGTGTGTGGAGGAGATTTTCATCAAGTTTTACCAGTGATACAGATAGGAACGAAAGAGGATATAATGAAATCAAGTTTAGTTTTTTCACATTTGTGGCCTTCTTTCACACAACTACCATTGATTCAAAATATGAAAGCTAAATTAGATCCTTCGTTTTCTGAATATTTGCTCAAAATTGGGAATGGAATTGAGAGAGAACATTCATGCCAGATGATTATGCTTCCTCAAGATATCACCATCAATTTTGAAGATGGGTTTAAATCACTGAAGGAATTAATTAACATTGTGTTTCCCAATTTCCAAACATATGGAGACGATCTAAATATTATGATAAATAGAGTTATTTTAACCTCCAAAAAATGAATATGTGGATTTAGTAAACAACATGTTGCTGTAAGAAATTCCAGGAGAGAAGTTTACTTATTTTAGTTTTGATGAAGTAATTGATAAAAGCAAATGATTTATTCATGAAGATCTTTTAAACAGTCCAACTCCGAATGATATTCCTCCACATGAACTTGTGCTAAAACGAAATTGTCCAGTTATGTTGCTTAGAAATATTAATCTTGCAGAAGGTTTATGTAATGGAACAAGACGATTTGCTGTGAATTTAGACAAAATTTGATTTTGGCTGAAATTGGAACAGGAGAATATCAGGGAAAGCAAGGTTTTTTACCTAGAATCCATTTATTCCACTTGAAGGTGATAAACAATCAATATCGTTCAAAAGAACTCAATTTTCACTTCGTCCTTGTTTTGCAATGACTATTAACAAAGCTCAAGGTCAAACTCTAGATTTTATTGACTAATATCTTTCGGAAGATGTATTTTCCCATGGTCAATTGTATGTTGCATTATCCCGAGTTAGGACAAGAAAATATATAAAAGTTTTGATCAACCCTTCTAGAAAAAATAAATCACATGGTTGTTGTACAGAAAAATATTGTTTATAATGAAATTTTGAACTTGATTCATGAGAGTAACCATTCTGAAAGAGCTTAAATTCAATTCTAACCTAAGAAGAAGGTACACATAGAATTCATTTCAACAGCTAATATTTATGATAGAATGTTAATTTTAGAGTATTTGTCTTTTTGACTCTGAAATTATTTTTTACAGAAATGGACTATCTAATATTCCTTTGCAGAATATGAAGGTAGCACTTCTAGAAGTTGACGAATGGAATGGAGTGGATCACTTTTGTAAGAATTCTAACGTGATTAGCATTTTGAAGTTGTTATTCAAAAATATACATGACATTCTACTTCAAAACATTTTTTTTTTCAAAGTATCTAAATCAATTTAATTTATGCAGCATATGGACATTCAAATTTATGAGAAAAAGGTCAAGGAAATGTTAGTGCATAAAAAAATTATTGGCACATACTCTCTTCAAAAATTGGTTACCTGAGGCAAACCAAGCTTTCAAGTCTTCAAATTTAAAGATAACTTGTGATGAAAACATAAATGACACAAGTTCTTCTGCACTAAAAGAAAAAAAAAGAGTGGATGATGATTGAGATATTTGAGAAGTTTTTGGCATCAACTATTCTCTTTTTTTAAATCATGTAGTGTTTAAACTGTCTAGATTAGAAATGACATATACATCAGGGTGTTTGGTTTGCTTTATGTGTGCTAGATAACATCAATTGTTGTTGCAAGCTTTGTTGATAAATCTTGTATTTATTTTTGTCTTCTATTTAGATTTATTTTCATCCATGTAAATCTAAACCTATAGAAACTTATTTTGTAAGTGACATGATTTCTTATATTTAGTTATCAAAGCTAATAAGTTTTAGGATGGTAAGTTGAAATTCATGTTGATAAACAACTAGCAAAACAATAATGCTTAATTAAAACTAATCATAAAATTGAAAATTAGTATAACCTGTGAAACTATTATTAACAACAAAAGAAAAAAACATATATACACACACACATACACACACACACATACATACATACATACAAATGTACGGGGTGTGCGGTAACCCACAGAAAATGTACGGGTGTCCCCGCACAATTGTAAAAAATTTGGACAACCACACAATTGTAAGAAATTTTTTCTTTCTTTCACACTCGAGTATTAACAAAGTGTAAGAAACTCCCATTTTCAACTTTCACACTTGTGAATTTGGTGCCTTCAAATTGACTTACTCTGCCAAAATGTCTATTTTTCCGTTTGCAGCGCGGAGAATGTGCGAGGCTACACCGCATATTTGTGTGGTGCCCGTACAAAAAATGTACATGTGGGGACACCGCCCGCACATTAGTGCAGTGCCCGCACATTTGTGTGACACCACTCGCACAACTTATGCGGGGTAGCCCACACATTTGCCATCTCCATTGATTTTTTTAAATACTATCAACAATATTTTGAGCTACATGAAATTTTAAATAAAATTTATATTATTTTGGTTAAAGATTAGTACAAGAAACAAAAAGTATTATCTCTTTCTTTCATTTTTTCTTCCCACAAAATCTTGTAAAACATCACAAATCTTGCAGAGTCACGAGAATCCTATAAGAAGGTGCCAAGACCACTGCCACATATTATGTCGATTTCTACAACTGTGGGAATACTTTGTCCAATTAACATGTGAACTTCTGGTCAAATCATTGAAAAAAAGGAACGTACATTTCTTTAGCTTAAATATCTTCGCATTCCATTTGTTCTTACAAAAAAAAAATTAAGTATTTTTACCTACCGCTTACACCAGCTTTGCTCAAAAAATTCAGGTATTATCTATTCTTTTTTCTTACCTCTTTAGATAGATTTTTAGTTTTACATAATGTCTAATTTTCAATATTTAATCGTGTTGTAAATCATATGATATATGTAATTCTTTCTAAATTTAGTGCAGATACAAAAATGGATGTGCCACATAACTTCTCTAAAATCATCAATGTTTCACTAAGTCATAACATTCATTTTGTAAGTTATATAATAATTTTTTTTTTCAGATTTTTTAAAATCTTTTATTAATATTAATGTACCACTTATATTTTTTTCATATTTGTTAGGGGTGGGCGCGGGTCAAAGAGAACCAAACCGAATCAAAATTTTCGGGTATCGAGTAAATAAAACTGTCGGGTCCAAATATAATTATGGAACCGTTCGGTTCCGTTCGATTCCGTTCGGCTCTGTACTATAATTAAATTTTTTAACATTTATAACAACATTATATAAATACAACTAATGATACATTCAATGGTTTTGGAATGCCATAG